AAATAATAACAGCATTCTGCTGTAAATGTAAGCCTGATTATTTGTATTATAGCAGAGTTCACCTGTATTTATAGATCATTGCATTGGTTTTACAGTGTAAATATCTTTAATTAAACAGCTGTACCTGTATCAGGTGAACCCTGCTGACCACAGCCTCGACATCAGCCCCGGGTCTCGTTAACTAGCCGCTGTTTGATACCCTCCCTTCATCTTGGAGCTTTGAAAGTTGACCTGCAGAATACCGACACACACACACACACACACACACACACACACACACACAGCTTCAGATATTTGAAGTGGCCTCACACAGGTAACAGCAGGACCACTGGGCACATTCCTGGTCGCGAAGACAGTTTTTGTGTTTGCTTTGATTCCTCAACCAGCAAACTCCTCACAACAGGTGGAGTGTGTGTGTGTGTGTGTGTGTTTGTGTGTGTGTGTGTGTGGGGCTTTAATTGTCCTCTCAGATCACACACTGGGTGTCTCAGCCGAAGAGCTTCACTCATTCCAGTATTCATCGGTCCGTTTGTCGATCGGCCGTCAGCTCGGCGGCGCACCTGCAGCACGCCGCCTCTGACTGGCTCATTGTGAGGGAGTTCCTTTAAAGTCGGGGTTAATCAGGAAGATGACGGATTCCGCTCGCCATCGCAGGTCAATTCGGGTCACCGGGGGTCAAGCAGGTGGGAAACAAAGAGGGTCAGTGTAGAGGGGAGTCCAGGTGGTCCAACGAACAGCTGACGTCAGGAGATGTTTAAGTTGGGAACGTTTGTCAAAACCTGTTGAAAAAATGTTAAATTATTAAATAAAGAAATTAAAATGAAATCACTGAGTTAAATTTACCCATGATTTAGTATCTACTTACTGGACTCCCATACGTAATAACATAGGTTGGAGGAAAAAAGAAATACATGGTATGGTACAGTTGTACCCCCACTGCTCTTTCAAAATAAAACAAGAAGGATTTGTCAGATCTGTCGGGACAAAAACAACATACTATAAACAGACAAACACATTAATATTTCATTTAGTTTTACAAATAATTCAACATCTCTAAGTTTTGTATTTTTTGGCAAATTACCACAATGACTGTATGTTTAAAACCTGCTGCGATCTGTGAGGGGATCCAACCTGTGACCTTTTTAAAGCAACTTGTTTTTAGATGATAACGTTCCTGAGATCAGCCCCCCACAGCGGCGAGCAGCTTCAGTGTATTTGACTCGTTTTAAAATGGACAAACCGTCCTCGCTTATCGCCCGCCTTGCCGTCCTGAAGGAGGAGGGGCGACGAGGGAAACAAGCACAGTAACATTTAAAGCCTCTCCTCTCACACAGCCACGACTGTATTTCATCCATTGCAAATGCTCACAGTAGCCCCGGGGGAGTAAATATTACCCAGGCTCTGCTGTTTAAGACTGAGCGGCGCGGCCGGGGTCAGAGGTCACAGAGCTCACAGCTCAGCCACCTCAAAAGAATCAAAGCTGCGGTGGTGGAGCTTTAAAATCCACATTAATGTTTCAGTGTTTTCTGCACACGGATTATATCTACTCATTTTACACCTGCAGTGAGTAGAAAAATGTCTATCGCACTTTCCCACAATGCAACTCTTCAAATGTCTTGTTCTGTTCAACCAATCGTCCAAAACCAAAATGTATTCCATCTACAATCGTATAGAAAGATAATAAAATACACATACAATACAAAATTAAATAGAAGATATAATAGAAGTAGAAAATAAGCGATATATAACTTTTATATACAGATTTGTTGAGTCAACACTTCCTGCACCAGAAATTCTGAATTCCTGCCTTTGCCAGTTGGCTTTTAATGTGAAAGATTTGCAGGAAGCGAAATTAAAAAAAAAAGTTTTAAAGAAAACTATTTCTAAGTAATTCCACCACTTCTTAATATTTTTCATTAATATGTCTCAGCGATCTTTGTTCATGCTGGGTCTATTATTTGAGACGCAACTCTTTGTTTAAATACAGGCTTTTATTTGAGGATTTATGGTGTTAATTGTTACTAAATGTTGAGTCTGTTTTAACTTTGGCTGTTTGTGTCAGGACGATGGGAGTAATAATGTTTTGAATTTGGATACATTTGAAGGTCTGATCAGCTGTTTGAGGGTTTGAGAAGTTTATTTTGTTGCTCTTCTTGTCTCGTTTGTTATGTTGCAAACTTACTTCCATCCCTCCATCGTGCTCATTGGCCCCTCCCACTTCCCCGTCAAGCCACGCCCCCTCTCCTGTGGACCAATCCTCCTCCACGCTGCTGTTTTTGACGCCTCTCTCTCTCTCTCTCTTTCCTCCTTTCGTTTCTTGTTTTCTCTTGTACATGTCGTCTCATTCTTTCGCTCTGTCCTACCTCTTCCTCCTATTGTATCCCTCTTTTCTCTCTTCCTGCCGTCGGGGGACGCAGCCAAACGTAAAGTGTGGAAACTTAATCGTGTCGATAGTCTTCGCAGCATTTACGCCAACAGTCTGCACAACTCAGAAGGTAAAAACACTGCTGGGGGTGGACCTGTGGACCCCCATTAACCCCCCTTTGACCCCACCCTCTGCAGAGACAGAGTACCCTGTCCTGGGGTAAGGCACATTACCCAGTAAGCAGCCATTTGCTGATTTCAGTGTCAAAAGATGTCTAAACATTCAGGATAAAACTAGGATACATTTAGTGTGAAAGACGTCTAAACTAATGGAACATGTAGACTTTTATTTTAGCGAGACAAAAGATTGTGAACGGATTACCCAGATTACATTACGATCCTTTAAGTTTATGTTCTGACCACCAGTTTAATTACCGTAAAGCTTTATTTAAAATCAGGTTCCCAATTAGACACAGCTCTCCTTTACTAGCCTGGTGTGGCTAGAAGTTTTGACAAATAAAAGCATGTTTCAGTTAGAGGCCTGGTCTGGATTTAATAGAATTTCTTCGGATGTATAAAACCGAGTCTGCTTGAGCGAGTTCTATGCTGCTTAGATCACCTACACGAATATAAATGTTTAAACTTCCCATCTTTGTTGAACAAGAGTTTTGTGCAAGAGAATTGAAACCATTTAGAAGCCTGTTCCAAATAAAGGCAGGAGGAGTGATTGAAGCAAATAAAAGCTCGGGCTGTTGCTTTGTCCATCATTTCTGCACAACAGACTGCTTCAAATAAATTGTGATGAAAAGAAGTCAAAAAGTTGCTGGATAGAACCCCAAATTAATTTATATAAGCTGCAGATTTTAGGCTTGTACCGTCAAATTGATATTTTTTTTAATGCAGTTGTTCATCTTAAGGACTGATGATTCAACCAGGAGGGTTTAATGTCGATCTAAGCTGTAGAAGAAGCATTGTCAGGGATATCTGAAGTGGCTGCAGTAAGAACCTGCCTCACACTGAAAAATAATATATTTAATCCCCATTAAATAGTTTTATGTAACTTAAAGATCTAATATAGATCTGCCCCTAGACTTCTTTTGACCTGCAGGTGGAGAAAAACGTCTTCTCACTGCCAGAGTCACCTGACCTGTCTGTGATGGCGTCTTTCCCTCCTTGCATCCTTCTGCCCCCACCCTTCCCTTCAGATGTGATCAGTGTATCTTCAGTTTTATTTAACCTAATTCTACATTCAGTGAAAGCCAAACTGTTGGTGTCTTCGTCTGTTTGCATGATCGAACCACAAAACAGGTTAAATCATCTCAGAGCCGTTTTGAATCTGCTTTACGTCACGGCTTCTTCTTCTGCTTCGTTGTGCTCGTTCAAAAAGATAGACCTCCATACTTCTTTTTCAGAGAGACTTCAGAACAATCGGCTGCAATATTTTCCAGGTTATTAATGTTGTAAAAGGCTGCGAATAATATGGGGAGTAATGACCTGTGTCGCAAAGCAATACTGTGTGCGGTGACATTTAAGGCTTTTAATTTGTGTTTCCCGAGGCCCCCTTTTGTCTCCCTCACGCCTCCCCTCTCATTGCACCTACCGTCCTGCTTGTCACACACACACACACACACACAATCAAACACACACCCCGCTGGGCCGACTCGACACCTCACACCCCGGATGATAGGCTTGTATGCATGTCCTGCCCCCCCCTCCCTCGCTGCGTCTTGTAAATGCTGTATATTTGGTTTGTTCTGTTTCTGCTGCTAAAGGTTACCGGTGTCAGAGTTCACAAATTGCCTCGGCTCCACCTCTCTCTGTGTGAATGTCGCCCACAGTAGCCGAGAGCGGTGGCAGTAATTACCAATACAGCGCGGGTGACTCGCCGTCTGTTTGTGTGTGTTTGTACTCTGATGCATACGTTTAGTCCTGCACACCAACACAGAGGAGAGACCGAGCAGGTGAGGAAGCCTGTAAGTACGTAGGAAGCACAGATAGTGAATCACAGGACTTATTTGGATCTTAAAGAATCAAGAAATTGTATCTGTACTGGTCCAGCGTGTAGGATTTAATGGAGAAACCACAAACTTGTAAAAAACTTCAAAAGTCTGTATCTACAGCCAAACACTGGCTGGTTTGTCCGTTCTGGGCTACTGTAGAAACATGGAGGACTCAAAGGAAGGCGACCAACGGCGTTAGTAGATAAAAACAGTTCATTCTGAGGTAACAATAACACAATAATTCCTACACTAATGAAAATATACCTATGAAAAAGCACCTGTTCAGTTTGCTAAGAAAGTCATTTGTATGGCTCTATGGATTGCAGTGACGGTTGGTCGGTCCACCACTTTGGTTGAAGCTGAATTATCTCAACAACTATTGGATGGATTGGCTCATATTGTGGTTCAGACAATCATGTTCCCCTCAGGATGAATTGGAATAACTTTGGTGTTCCTCTGACTTCACATCTAGTGGCATCAGGTGACCTTCCAAACGCAGATTCCTGTTAACACATTAGAGACACAAAGCCATCTGATCCATTGTAACTACAAAAAGTTGGTGTAGTCTTCCTGTACAGACAGACAGGAGCTGCTGACTGTAGCACATGCTCAGCTGGGGGTTTTCAGAGTTAAGTGGGGGTTGTGGGAGTGGCTCTCTGGTTGCACAGCCTAATGCCCCCCTCATTTTATTCATTAGCCGCCGTGCTGCGCTGGGTCAGCGTGCAGCATTTAAATCCAGAAACAGCATTTAATTTACGAAGAGGCAGGGCCTTTCTGGATTGTTGGTTTCCATAATTGTCAAGCAGCCAAACCCCCTCCCCTGAAAACAGAGAATCATGGGAATTTAATTATGATGGGATTCTTGCTCTTGACCCTGCAGGGCTCAACCGACGCTTGATGGGTGGGCTGTCATTTAGAACGAAGATGCACCCAGTGTAGACCCAGGAGCCTCCAAATACACTTTGGAAAATTATCATTCACTTTCTGTACAGTTTGCCCTTCATTAGACACATTTCAGTACACAGCAGTTTAACTTCTGGCATGTGTCGAACCCCTAGCCCTTCAGTGTGAAGGTAGGAAGCAAAGGTGCACTAGATAACTCATAAAATCTGACTTCAGCAGGTTGTTTCTGGAGACTGATAATGTTTTTTGGGACTTTGCAGAAGTCCAGTGCTGTTATGAACAGGCAAAAGCTGCAGATGTAGAAGTTGCTTGATTAACACGTTTTGAATGTAAACTGATTATTTACATTCAACTGTTGTCTCTGGTCTAAAATTAAACCCACATCTTTATATACATTTCAGCAGTTCTTTGTTTTTAAAAATTACTTTTTACTTAATCTCATGGGTATAAGGTTCTTTAGTTTTCTTTAGTTTTTGAGTAGTTTTATTTGTGGAAAAATGTGGTTGTTTGTCGTGGTTAAACCTCAACAACACGAAATGGACAATTTAAAATGAAAGTCTGGTTTAACCTTGAGCCATTAACCAGCCCCTGTAAACAGTAGTTTTAATTAACATCAACTAATTAGACTCAGCCCATCGTTAGCCTGAAGCACCCGAGAGATGAAAATGATCCAGCATTATCTTCAGCAAAGGAAACTTTGGTCAGCAAAGGTGTTTTCAATCTCTTTATCCTGGAAGTGGAAGGGTTCTTCACCCAGTCGTTTGGCCTTGGGGGTCTCCCTTCCATCCTTACCTTCCGTCCTTCCTCTCCTCGGACAAGGCCATTGATTATCCAGAGCAAAGCCAGAGGGGAACTTCAGCTCCGGTGCTCTGAGACGCTCCCAATTAGCCAAATGACTGGAGTTGAGGAAGAGCAAATGGTCGTTCCCTCGCGGGCCGGCCGTGACCGCTCTCCGACTGATTAAACCTCTCATCTTTTCACTGCTTCACTCCCGGCACACGTCATGAAACTGCTGCTTCCAGAAACGCTCGCCTAAAAGTGTCATGAATGATTACCGACCTCCGCACTGAGATCTGCTATCACCCATAGTTTTGGATGTATATATGGAGTGAATAAATGATGCTTAATTTCCTTTTACACTCATGAAATAACATTTCTTAGAGATATAACCTCTTCACATGCTTTTGTTTAGAGTCATAGCAGCCGAAACTTAGGAATCCTGGGAATTATCAGCCGTGCTGGAGGCCATCCTTTGATTAAGTGATTACCCCTGCCCTCCCCTCATCTCTTACCTCCTCACTGGGGCTAATTGTAAACAGAAGCTGGTTGTTGTCTGATCTGGTGCAGTGATGATACGGGCTCTCTGCCATGCCCCCGCTTCACCTCCACTTCCCATCCTTTCTGTGGTCGGTAACGGTTTCCAAATGTTCCCCAAGTTGTGCACAAACACTCGCTAACATCCGTCAAACCTCCGAGAACCGGCTTGATGTTGAAGCGTTTGAAGCATGCTCGAACAGCTGCAGAACACTGACATTTAAAAAAAGGGACAGTTTGCCCTAAAATACAGTAAATCTTAAGCATTCATGTTCATTGTTGCCCCTGGGAATAGTACGTGTGACCAAATGATCTCAACTTAAAGCTCTTCTTACTAGCTTTCTGACATCCTACAGTCTCCATCAACTAACAGAGTTTGTTAGTCCCATTGTCTTCAAGGTTTTGCACTTTCTTCAGCACTTTTAGGACATTATTGTCAATGTTCCGTTATAATAATTTAATTAGTCTAGTTCACTGTGAGGATTTCCTGCTTTCCTTTGTTTTATATGATTAGAAATAGCATTGAAAATATTATTGCATTGAAAATATACTTTCTGAAGTCATATTCAAGGATTACACTCTTTTTGAGTAAACTCTACCTTTAATTCAGACCTTCTACAACTGCTTTAAAGAAGTTGAGGACCTTGAATCTCTTCTACAGCCATATACAAACACACACAGGCACACACACTCAGTGTAATTGTCTCCTGATTGTCCCATTAACCTCTGGGGGTTCTGGGTGATAGATCCATATGTCCCCCCTCCAGCAGCCCCTGATTGTAATGACTGACCTCTCCCACTGACATGTCAGCAGAGAAGAGGGCAGGACGGTCCGGGGCCCTTGGGGGTGGGGGGGCACAGGGCCCCGTAATTTGGGTGACATCCTGGCTTCAGGGGGCGGGGTCACATAGGTCACCTGTGGTCGGTTCAGGAGAACAGGTGTCCTTCAGTCAGAGAGCTTTATATGAATGAAAAGACGCTTGTGGACAGAGCTGCTTGTGTACTTCTGTTTCTCCGCTGGTACTTTATACGTTTGATGAGGGTCTGTTATTTTAGATTTATATAATGTGGATGTGGTTTTAAAGTCAAGGTTTTTGGGGTTTGTTGGTATTTGGACGTGGTTTGGTTTTACACCATGAAAGTCACTTTTCTAGTCTCACAAATAGAGGTGGAAGGACATTACGAACACAATAACTGAACATTTGCAAAGGCGTGATCCATCTTCTTCTTGAAATACGACATAGTTGAGTTTCCATATCAGCTGGTCTAAGCCTCCATTGTTAATGTGTTGCTTTGTGTGATGGTTTGAAGCTCATGAAATAGTTTTACTTCAGATCAGTGTGGTATTTGATCACATAATTACAGGTTGCAGTAGCAGAACATCAGCGAGTGATCAATTAACAACTGTTGAAATAAGGTCTCTGATATAGTAATGGAGTTAGTCCGTAATGTCACTTTGGTGTTGATGTGAGAAGTTAAACTTTATTGCAATTGACTGAAGTCAAACCAAGATGGTACGGTGGTTTGAGTGACCCCCTACAAACTCAAAACCGCCCTCTCTGCGGATTAGAGCGTGAACCACATGGCCGAGGTGAAACGTGGCTGAATGTAAAGTTTTGTGATCGGTGTGTGTGCCGGATGTTCCCGTACTAAGTCTTGGTTTTTCTTTCTTTCTCCGACAGAACAAGAGGAGAACTTTGAGTTCACCATTGTGTCGCTGACGGGGCAGACGTGGCATTTCGAGGCGACTTCGTACGAGGAGAGAGACGCCTGGGTGCAGGTCATCGAGAGCCAGATCCTGGCTAGCCTGCAGTCCTGTGAGAGCAGCAAGAACAAGGTGAATATTGGCAAACTCTCTCTCACTGAAGTCCGCTCTGTGGTTCCCAGTAGTCCTGGAGCAGTCCGTGATACAGACAGGGGAAGTCTGTTGATCTGGACTTGCAGTTTACATTTTAGTTTCTTTAAAACCATATATTGACTGTCCAGAGACCAAGTGTTTAAAAAGTGAAAGGTTTTAGGTACAAAAACTGATAGAAGAGATGCATTTAAATTAAAATTATATTTTGCTTTTGGAAATATAAAATCGGCTTAAAATAAACCAAATGGAATGATTTCAATTACATCTAATTTATATTTAAACAACTTAACTCATGGTAACTTACTAGCGTTTTCCGGGACTTTCAGCAGCATCTGATGGTCTTCATGTTTGTGTTTCTGTTGCATTAGTTCTCATGAAGTTGTTAAAACATGAGCATAAAAGTTACCTTTTAAACTCAAGGCGCTATTGGCCTTTTTTGGAGCTTTCAACCTTTGTTGAGATTTGCTGTTTTTCATCATTCAATTAAGTTTGTAGCCAAAAGAGACGAGCTAACGCCTCCATTCAGGGATGAAGCCCATGAAATAAAGTTAAAAGCTCTACTCAGTATTCATAGAAAATAAATAAATATGTAAGATATATGTAGTCTATACATACATAGTAAAATAACACAAACAAAATGAGTATTTCTCATTATAAGCAATAGAAATACGTACAGAAAGTCACACATATGTCACATTATGACAGTATTAAACATTACAAATGGTACAAATTGCCATTATATACATGTAGAGTATGAATGCGGTGCATCACAGGACTGTCGGATATGATAAGAACAGAAGGAACGGGACCTTTGAATGCACATTCAGTCACTGCGTTCACTCACGCACAAACACACTTTCATTCACATAATTACAAAATAGCAATTACTGTAGCTTCAGTCTCAGCGTTGCCATTTTCCACCTGCACATGCAGCGGGCGGCTCGGCTCTCAGTCGAGGCCCGCTGTGTTTACGCCTCAGGCTCTCTGCCTTTTATTGCCCCCCTCGTCCCACCCAAAACACCGTCTGCCCCTCCCTCCCCCATTTCCATTTGTTTGCTGTCTTATTCCTTCATTCCCCGACATCAGTGGACGTCCACATCTGTTCAGCGTCTGTACACACCTGAATGTGTCTTAGAACCAAAGTATTTTAAAAGAAATTAACCCTCCCACATTAAAATGTCTATAAACTATCCTATGCTCTGTATGTAGTTGAGTTGTGTAC